GCAGTCACAGTTCAGCCTGGCAGAAAGAACTACATCCAAGTTGGATATATAAAAAGATATGCATATTCTGTCTTTCAAGAATTTGAATTTGTTAATGCAGATTCTATCCACGGGTAGAGAGACCAGAAGTGAAAAAGATGAAGAGGCAGAAGCCAGGAGGCAGTAAGGCCAAGACTTTGCAGAAGTTGTGAGTTAGCAGAAGTGAGGACTAGCAGAAGGCACTAGGTAAAGAAAAAATAGATAATTAGAAAGCGGAAAGAGATCATTTTCAGTAGAAGTAGAAACTGAAGACACTCAATGGCAGGGAACAAACAAAATCCTGTGCAGCGGGAACAACACGATACCTAATCCCAGGAGATACCCAGGATCCTTCCTGTTAGAAAGTCATACCCAGTTTTCACAAGGCCAGGCTCTATGGCTATTCCTAACTCCAGAAAAACTCCCCCATGCCTTACTGCTATTCATGGCCTTACTATGTTATAGTTCTCCTTATGGTAGGGTCCTGCAACAAACAGCCTGAAGCTCCTATACCTGTCATCGGAACCCTTAGTCCTTTCTCGTATTGCTATAGAGAAATACCTGAGGCTCCGTAATTTATAAAAAAAGAGGTTTATCTGGCTTATAGTTCTGGGGAGGCTTCAGAAAGCTTTTACTCATAGCAGAAGGGAAGGTAAAACAGGAGCAGGCACTTCATGTGGTAAAAACAGGAGCAGGAGAGAGGGTGGGGGAGGTGCCTCATACTTTTAAACAATCAAGTACCCTGAGAACTCACTCACTATTGTGAAGACAGCATTGAGAGATGGGGCTCGACAATTCATGAGGAATCCACCCCCCATCCTGCATCCAGTAACCTCCCACCAGGCCCCACCTCCAATACTGGAGATTACAATTCAGCATGAGGTTTGGGCAGGGACACAGATCCAAACTATACCACCGTTATCTGGTGTCTGGCAAAGAAAAGCCATGAGCACATCACCGTCTCACAGACTTGCCCTGGGAGTTCCAACTGTAGCTCCACCAAGTCCCAGATGTGTGACCTTCAGCAAATCTCTTGAAGTCTTTGAGCCTCCCTTTCTACCTCTGGAAAGCTTGGAAATTGGTACCTGACCCATAAGCGTTGCTGAGTAGAATAAATAAGGTAATATATGCAAATTGCCTGGTACTAGAGAAGGTGTTCATTACATATTGTTTGCCTTCCCTTCCCTCTATTTCATTTGCATATACTTCTTTGGAATGAAAAGAAAGGTGTTTTTGATATTTATTTGCTATACCATATAACTATTGATTACTTAATCCATACTTCTCAAAATGAGTTAGGAAACAATTATTAATACCAAAAAATTATTTCTCCTATGATGTGAAATCTGATATGTTCACTTTGCCTGATCTTCAGGCTCTAGTTCGGTATATCTCCCCAAACTCACAACTCAAGTCAGCATCCCTAAGTGAAATACAAGCTATAGGCGGACCGGGTTGGTCACAGACCCCAGAGCACACCTTGGTTATCAAATACCACACTTCCTCACCTATTCAAACTCAGCTCACCTTTGGAGGTGCCAGCGGGAAACTGATGACACACTCACATTAAGATTATTTCTGAAGACTTAATAAAGAGATTATTTACACATGAGTGGGCTAGGTTGAAGAGAAACCCCAAAGGACAGTGCAGTGTCCCAGGGAGAGAAGAGCAGAACTGTTATCTCTGCTAGGCCTGAAGGGATGAGAGGAGGGAAAGGCTACCAGACCAGGAGGGAACCCTGTAGAGACAGTTCCTTAAAAGGAGCAGTGACCTTCAGTCTAGGAAGCAGTAAACCCAAGGCCAGCCAGCAGGGAGAAAGAAGCTGAAAGGGAGATCAAAAACACAGAGACTTACCTCTCCTTTCCTCTCCTAAGCCTCCTGCTAGGACCCAGCACTGGCTAATCCCCATAAGTGGCCAAAGGGTCAGAAGGCCCACAGAGGAAAGAGGGATGGATGCAGTCCACACAGGTCAGCTTCCCAGAGCAGGAGAATGGGGCAGAGAGAGCCCCTGGAGGGGCAAGCAGAAGATAGCCAAAGGCCCAGGTGAAGCCCTCCCGCTCCAGTAAGGATTTCCTATCACAGCCTATATTCTTCAAAATTCCCAAGGAACTGCATGCCTTTATGTCTCCTATAACAGAGCATAAAACAGAAGGGAGAAATGAAGAAAAGGAAGCAATTACCTTCATGAGAACCTACTAGGCTTCATGTTCTGTGCTAAGCAGTGTACACATTCCCCATGCCGTTACTTCTTTACAATCTGGGAAGGTAAGTATGATTGTTCCCATTTTGAAGTGGTGGAAACAGAGGCACAGAAGTGATAAAGTATCAAGTCCCGGGTCCCATTCCTATGGTGAATCCAGATCTAGAACCCAAGTGTATCTGATTCTAAATGTCACAACATTTCCAGAAAACCATACTGCCTTCATAGTCATTTCTTATCTACCTGTATCTTGTCCCTCAATGAGCCTGAAGGCCACCTGAAGGCATAGATGGCCTTCTATTTCTCTCGTATCTTCCTTTGTCTTTGTGTTAATAAGATGCAAGAAAGCTCCACATATATATTAGCTGATAAATAAAATCACAAAATCTTTGAAATCCCCACAATCCTATTTTTTTCTCAGTTTAAAAATACCTTGTTTTGCCAAACTCAGAAACTTCTTTTCTCTCTTAGAACAGGCTTTCTTTTTTTTTAAACACACATCTTAAATTGGGATTCACAACTCATCGCTCCCACAGGAAATCCCCCCAGGCTCCTTGTCTGTTCAGGCAAGCACTTGGTAAATTCGGAAAACAGTTTAGGTTCATTTCTGCTTGCCAAGTACAAGGCTTCTGGGTAGCCTGCTCTTATGCGAAGCTTTAAAAGAAATATTATGGTCATTTACTTAAGCATATCCAACAATATTTTTAAAAATGGACTCTTTGAAGTATTACTACTAATAAAAACAATAAAATAATTAATGATATGACCATGGCAGCTCTGTATATTTGATATTATGTGAGTGCAATCTTACCTGGTGAGAATTTCTAAAAGGCCCCAAGTGCCTTTCTGACATTTCATCATTAACTCCTTTTGCCTTCTCTGCAGGGTAGCAAAGGTGAGCTTGTGTAGGCTTCAAGTGGAGGTTGAGGCCTGAGGCCCAAACAACTCACTTTCTCCACTCCACACTCACCTCCCATTTAACAGGAAGACAACAAACCTCCTCAGAACATAGCAACAGTGAAAGGAAAGGATCTTGCAGTTTTTTAGGAGGACCCCCTGGGGTCCCCCTTCGTCTGTGCACTCATTTGACATTTCCTTTCTAACAACGACTGTCACGGTTTGCCAAATACCTTCTCTTTCGTGCTTTCATTTCATCTTCATGGTGCTGTCCTCATTTTACCGTGGTTGGAGATGATATAAGCCACAGTTTCCAGCTAAATAGGAGTGGACTCCATGCCTTTTGAGTCCAAGATTTTTTCTGTACCTTGTAAATACCACCTGAATTCTGGCTCTATATTATGCTATCTTAATTAGATGATCAGCCCTATTACAGGTACTGCCATCCTGAATGATAGTGAAAGAGTAGGACCTGTTGCTAGTAGGAGAGTTGCCTACAATCTTCCCCACTCCTCCCCAGCTGGTGAGACCACACCTCCTTCCCCACCTGTTGAATCTAGACCACACCTCCCAGACCACACCTCCTTCTCCATCTGCTGAATCTAGGCCACACCCTCTTTCCCTTTCTGTTGAATCTAGGCCATGCTCCCTTTCCTGTCTGTCGAATCTAGACCACACCTCCTTTCCTGTCTGCTGAATCTAGGCTACACCCTCTTTCCCTGTCTGTTGAATCCAGACCACCTCCCCTTCCCTGTCTGTTGAACATAGACTACACCCCCTTTCCTATCTGTTGAATCTAGGCCACACCCTCTTTCCTGTTTGTTGAATCTAAGCCACACCTCCTTTCCTGTATGTTGAATCTAGACCACACTCTCTTCCCTGTCAATTCAATCTAGACCACACCTCCTACCCCACCTTCTTTCCCTAGCTATGGAATCTAGACCACACCTCCCAGACCAGGCCTCCTCCCTATCTGCTGAATCTAGACTACACCTCCTGTCCAATCTGTTGAATCTCTGCACCTTTGCCCAGCCACCTGATGAGAGCTGTGGGGTCACTAACCTGAATAATAATGCTTTTTCCCTCTCCGGAGGGAACTTCAACCTTTGCTCATTAAAATTTATAGTCTAAATTAGAAGTACTCTTTAGAGATAAAAAGACCAAAATCAAGACAAAACAATACTAAATTGCTTCCAAGAACCAAACTAGTATGTCAGTTAATCCAGATTTGTAATTGGGTTATCCCTAAAAAATGAGCCAGCCTTGATTAGGTGCCCATTAGCTTTCAGCTTCCAGAGAGCAGCAAGCTAGTCCTGCAAACAGTCATTCTCTTGACATCTGTGATTCTCTGGGTATTACCAGTTAATGTCCATGCAAGGAGGAATGGATATATGATCAGAAGAAGCATGAAAAGATCTCCTCCTTTCAGGAATTCCAGGGGGAAACACCCACAGAAAATCACAGGGCTGAAAAAAATTGGTATATCAAATACTCCTTTGAAAAATTTTATAAAAGCTGTGAACACTTTCCCAAAGCTCAAGTAAAGAACTTAAGATGTAAAGTGGGGATTTAAAAAAAAATTCAAAAAGGAAACAAAAACTCAATATGTTTTAAAAGCACAATTTAAAAATCGTCAGTACTATATGCACTGACTTTTCATCTTCTAACTTTTTATCCAATCATTCTGTTGGCATATGGCCACAAAATCACAGTAAAATAAGAAATGGCTTCTAATAATAATAAGACTGTATGGCTAAAAAGTACTTTTCCATCTGTGTGTCCACATGAAATTCTCTCAATACCCTCAGAAAAACACAAAATAGGAATCTCAGTGCTCATTTTAAAGACTGAGCAACTGAGGCTCCAGGAAGGAAACTGACTTACCTACAGCTCCAGTACTAGGAAATGGCGACAACCAAGCTAAGATCAAAGTCTTCAGGCTTCTAGTCTAGGGTTTTAAAGATGAAAAGAAACGCAGATATCAGCTAGACCCATAGCCTAGAGCAAGCTTGTCCAACCAGCACCCTGCCAGCCACATGTAGCCCAGGATGGCTTTGAATTCGACCCAACACAAATTCATAAACGTCCTTAAAATATTATGAAATTTTTTGTGATTTTCTTTAGCCCATCAGCTATCATTAGTGTATTTTATGTGTGGCCCAAGGATATTCTTCTTTTTCCAACGTGGCTCGGGGAAGCCAAAAGATTGGATACCCCTGACCTAGAGTCTTCACTTTACATTGAAGAACGGTATCTTAGGAAGATTGAATGCTTTGCCTGAAGTTACACAATAAGTAAGTTACGCAGATCAATTAGCTAGGTCACCTGATCTTTAGTCCACTTCTGACACCACTGTGGTCCACTGAGCCCATCGTTCATAACATCTGTCAGAGAGAATACTTCCTATATGATTTGTATTATTAGGCAATTTCTAGCTTCATTCACTTTTGTAAGATTTCTGCTCCTAGAATAAGTTTGTTTTAAAACATTTCAAAAAGCATAAAAGTGTCTTTTAAAAGAATTAAAGCATGATAAGACTTCTCCCCACACTTTAGAGGGAGCCCTTTGTACACAACATAATTTACCAAAACTCAGGTAACATAACTTACCAAACTCAACGTTTCCTAGCATTCTAGAAAACATTTTCCTAGAACTCCAGGCACAGGCAAGAAAGAACTCAGACACAGAAGAAATAACTCAGCAGCTGAAAGCAAACAAACCCCAACAACCTGGGCAAATTAATTTCTAGTAAAGAGCTCTACTCAGAGATTTAAAAATATAAAGTTAAATGCTACATTACCCATGTTGATCACGCTGCAGAGCAAAGCTCCAGAACAGACAGCCCTCCTGGCCCTTGTGGGAGCTCAAAGCCACCCCACAAAGAAGGAAGGACAAAGTACACAGCTGAGATGATAATTAGTGACTTTCAGTGATCACCAGAGAAGGGGTTTGGCAAGGAGCAATCACATGGGGAGACGCAGTTTAGTGTTCTGCTGCAAACATCATCAGGGCAGGAGGCATTCACACACAGACCCCCGCCACTCCAAACACGTTTATTTACTCTTTCAATCAATGCATAGTATAATTTACAGACTGCGGGCTGTTTGCCATACATTGTTCAGCTCTGAGGACACAGATTATGTTCTAGTGAAGGGTGGTGGACAATAAATCAATCAAGTATATCAAGTATACTATATGTCAGGTATTGGTAAGTGTTACGAAGAAAAACAAGGATGGGAGGGCTATACGAAGTGCTGGAGAAGAGTAAGTCTTTTTAATGAGTAGTTAGCGAAGGCCACACTGAGATGACATTGGAGCAAAATGTTTAAGAGGGTGAAGGTGCATGCCATGCAGAGATCTGGGGGAAGAGCATTTGGGGCAGAGGGAACAGCAAGCCCAAAAAGCTCTGAGGCAGAAATGAGCCAAGCACTTTCATCAAAGAACAGTGGAGATGCTAGGATGGGACACAGAGGACAGGGAAAAAGAAGTAAAGGATGAGCTCAACAAAGTGGATGCCAGAGCCAGGCCCTAGAGATGGACAGTATGGCAGAGTCCTTGCTGCTCAGTGGCTCCCAGTCTAGCAGGAAGTCAGCAATTGCGCCCAGAAGGTTAGGGTTTTCCGGGCTGGCTTCGCCAATCACTCCCTGGGCAACTCTGGGAAAGGAAAACTTTTGTGAGGCTCCCTTTCCTCATTTGTAAAAGAAAAAAGAACAATAATAATCTCATTTCATCTATCCCACTAACCCTGCTCCCATCACTGTAGTGAGCTAGCTTCAAAATGCTACTGTCATTCCTCTGCAGAACAACTGCAAGGGTTTAATAGTTTCATTTCCAGAATAGTTTCTTTCACTGATAAGAAACTTAAATGCAGAGAGTTAAAGTTCTTGCTCGAGAAAATACAGATAGAGAGAAGGGCATGGTAGCTTACTCCTGTAATCCCGGCTACTTGGGAGACTGAGGTGGGGAGCGTGTGAGCCTAGGAACTTGAGGCTGCGCTGAGCAATGACAGTGCCACTGTACTCCAGCCTAGGTGACAGAGCAAGAGCCCATCTCTAAAAAAAATAGATAGATGATAGACAGATTGACAGACAAGCGGCAGAAGTCGGATTTGAAAATGTCTTTGTGACTCCAAAAGCCCATTGCTCCAATATGCTCACGTGATGGACCCAAGAAAACGACAGCTGTTAAGTGTCGCCCAGCGTGAGAAGGGCAACACGGCCCCATAATGGCTATTGCTCTTCTAATGACACAGTGGGCTAGGTGGGATGATGGAACAAAGTGGACTCTCTCATCACAATTGCTGAGCAGTCCCACGTGGGTACAAAGCTCAATCTGAGGGTGCCAAGATTAAACTTATCCTCCTTCTCTAGGTGTCGCCATAGACTTGATAAGTTTGGATTCCTGAAGCCTGAGCACACTGGGAAACTGAGGCAGTCATTTAAGTCATCAAATGTCCCAAGCTTAGAAAGTCAAGCTTTGTGAAAATGAAAAAAAAAAAAAAAAATCAGACATCAAACTCTGTGTAGCTGACTTAAGAGTGACAGGAGTTGTTCTTCACCACCTCCTGCCAACCACACACACACACACACACACACACACACACACACACACACACAGCTTCTTGGTTGCAACCTGTCTGAAGTGGAGGAAAGAAACTCAGTTATGTTGGGGAGCATGTTTATAGCCCTGGACCTTGCTCCCAGTAAATGAAGATTCAGTTTAACTCATCTGGAAAAGTTAACTTTTCTGGATACTCTGTCACTCAGAATGTCCCACACCCTTTATTTCCTACACAATCTATATCCAGGCAAAGGTCATCCGTGGACACCTTACCTCAAGCCAATATAACTTGGTATTGACTGTGTTTGTGTTGCTGTCCATGTGAATGCATCTTTCTTGTGACTATAATACAATGGCAATAAACCTGATGATGGTGATGGTAAAAATAATGAAGGCTGCAAGGCGAAGTCAAATCTTCAGCTGAATCCCTGGCACTAAACGTTATGGTTTCTTAACCTCCCTGGGCCTAAATTTCTCATCTCTGAAATGTTACTACTAATTTATCTTGCAACATTAATATTGTGGTGAGGGAGGGGAAAGTATCTAAAGTCCTTGAGTCCACAGTTGTTCCTTCACAACTGACTGTTGTTATTCTCTGTCAAAAGAAAGGTGAATAAGATTTACACATTTTTATTCCAGCCATAATCTCATGTGATCCCCCAAACACGACCCCAGCCCTTAACTTGGGGTCTCTCCCTTAGTAGTCGTTCAAAATATAAAATCCAGAACTAGATGAGAGTTTAGAAATAACCTAAGTCTTTCATTTTACCACTGGGGAAAGTGAGGTTCAAAGAGGGGACACATAATTTTATCTAAGCAGATGCTGTCTACGATAATTTAGAAACCTCTTCCTGATGATAAACTCAGCCAAAGCTAGTAAGTATCGCATCATAAGTGAAATGCCATAGGGAAACTCACCAGGGCCCAGGCTAATGCATCCAGGATCTGATTTAGTTGTTGTGATACCCGGAATCATACAAAGGCTTTATTAAAACTCCATTTACTGGAGGAAAGTGTCTTGTGCCTTGAATGTAAAATGGCCCCTATTCACACTGACCTCTCAGTGTGCAGGGAAATGAAGGCCAAACTTCCCAAAGGTTCTCATTTGCAGCAGTGGCTGGTGAACAGCAGTGGCTGGTGAGCAGCAGTGGAGTGTGCAAACTCCAGCACTATTGCTTTCCACCTGTTTCTCCACTTGCTCATTATCTCTGAGTTCCAGGGGGCCAGTTTCACACTCAGCCTAATGGAACAGGGAGGGGCGCTTTTGCTGGACTGAACTGTCCACTTTAACAAGGTCAGGGCAGTGCTCACTTTCATGAAGCCCTGGGCAGGCCTGCACACTTGCTCAGGAATCCTGGGATGAGGCTCTCTGAAAAGAAGGTTTTGTGCATTTCTGTCTGTCGTTATCCAGGAGCAGATGGGGTGCTAAAATTAAGGATGCAGTGCCCCAGTTTTTAGGCACTCACTGTTTCTGTGGAAATGATGCTGAGGCTGAAAGCTAGAGTGTAGGGAAAAGCCAATTGAGAATGAGGCCTCAAGGTATGGCAGGAAAATAGCACAGGTTTGGGTCTGTGTGGGTTGTGCTTTGCCCATCTCTCCTGCACGGCTTTGAATGAGCTGCAACTTCCCTGAGCCCTAGCCTGGTCCCCACAATATGACAGTCACAGGGCCTAGGCACTGCTTCTTTCTTTCATAGGATCCTTTCTTTGCAAAATGTGTTTTAAAAAATTATATTCAATTACTGTGTTGGTATTATGACAAGTATAATTTTTTTTCTTTTCTTTTTTTTTTTTTGTTTTTGTTTTTGTTTTTTGAGACAGAGTCTCACTCTGTCTCCCAGGCTGGAGTACAGTGGCCCGATCTCAGCTCGTTACAACCTCTGCCGGGTTCAAGCAATTCTCCTGCCTCAGCTTCCCGAGTAGCTGGGACTACAGGTGACCGCCACCACTTCCGGCTAATTTTTGTATTTTTAGTAGAGACGGGGTTTCACCATATTGGCCAAGCAGGTCTCGAACTCCTGACCTTGTGATCTGCCCGCCTCGGCCTCCCGAAGCCCTGGGATTACAGGCGTGAGCCACCGCACCCAGCTGACAAGCATAATCTTTGACCCTAAAAGTCCATTTCCTTCCTCTGACTTTAAAAGAAGTGAAAATCTATTTGTGGGACCTCAAAAATACAGTGGGGGCCCGAGACACTGTGCCTGCTATTAGGAAGGGGTAAGTTGGCCCCAGTGTGGCCACAGTTTCCATAATAGAAAAGTGGAATTGATGGCTCCTGCCACTCAAGATGTTGTTAGGATGAGTAGTTGAATACAAAGTTGACCTCCCACCATGCCTGTTCCAGCAGATGCTCAGTCAGTGGTTGTTAACAATATATTATGTTTATTATTCAGAAAATGTAATTTAGCCATTTCCATAGACAATGTTTATGTCCCCTCTCCCTGCACACACACAAATTCATACATTGAAACCTAATCCCCAGGATGATGGAATGTGGAGGTGAAGCCTCTGGAAGGTGATGGGATTCATGCTCTTACAGGAAAGACCTCAGAGAAGTCCCTCACCCCTTCCACCAAGTGAGGTTACAGTGAGAAGGTGCCATCTATGAACCAGGAAGTGAATTCTCACAGACACTGAATCTGCTAGAGTCTTGATCTTGGACTTTCCAGCCTCCAGGACTGTAAGAAGTAAATTTCTGTTATTTACAAACCACCCGATCTATGGCATTCTGTTATAGCAGTCCAAAAGGACCAAGACAGCCATTCTTCAAAGAAAACAGGATTCTACATCTTTTGGCAGGGGAGACATGAGTTTGTTCCCTATGCAATTTATTCACTCAGCTCCTCAAAATATCCCAATAGCTATGAGAACATGGTTGTTCTCAATAGATACGCATACTGAATACTGACAACACACTTAAAAGGAAACATATTCCCACCAAGGGGAAACTTTATCAAAATTGTCCTTGTTATTAATTTTTGAAAAACATCAAAACATCAGAGCACTTAGAAAAATCAATGTCTCAGGCTCTGTTAGCTGAAGTTGGAGTTGTGGCCGGGATTTTGGGAAGAGCACCTGACTTGGAGTCTCACATGTGCTTTGCTGACCTGGTTCAACTTCCATCAGAGGCTTGGCAGGTCCTTCACACTCCAAGCCCCAGTTCTCTTTTCTGCAGTATGGAATGCCAATCCCTACTTACAATAGGGATGTTGTGAGGCTCAGAGGATCTAATGAATGTTCACTAAGCAATTTACCAAGGTTTCCCACAGAACACTCTATCCCTTAAGGATGCTCTTTACAAATAAGTAACGGATAAGCCAGGCCTGGTGTGGCACACCTGTGGTCCCAACTACTTGGGAAGTTGAGGCAGAAGGATTGCTTGAGCTCAGGAGTCCCAGGCCAGCCTGGGCAACATAGCAAGGCATTGTCTCAGGAAAAAAAAAACACACACACACACACAAAACACACATGCGTGCGCACACACACACACACAAGGGATGAACAGATGGAAAAAAAGGACAGATGAACAGGTACACAGATGGGAAGAAGGGAAGGAGGCAGGGAGGAAAAGAGAGGATGGATCCATGTTTAAATAGTTCTCAAAACAATAATATAATAGTCCCTGATCCCTTAAGATATCATAATAAACATTACTATATTAACAACTTTGAAAAGCCCTTTGTCAAGGGCACTTACTTTACAGATGACCAGAAATTCTATAATTTGTTTAACCAAATTTTCTCCTGGCATAACTATCGATATCCTATTTGATCTGAGAAATACCCACCACCCCACTTCCTTCTGTCCTTTCTGCTTCAAGGTCTTTGCAGTTTTGTTTCCTCTCTTGGCTCCTTCTTGTCTGATAGGCTTCCACTCAAATGTCACTTATTTAAAGTGGCTTTCCAAGGTCACCCAAACTTGTGTCCTCATACTAGTTACTGTATCATTTCTAACTATTTATTTATTTATATTTGAGACAGAGTCTCCCTCTGTCGCCCAGGTTGGAGTGAATAGATGGTGGAAAGCTTACCTATTATATGACTTTTTTTTTTTTTTTTTTTTTTTTTTTTTTGAGACAGAGTATTGTTCTGTCGCCCAGGCTAGAGTGTAGTGGCGCGATCTCAGCTCACTGAAACCTCTTCCTCCCAGGTTCACGCCATTCTCCTGCCTCAGCCTCCCGAGTAGCTGGGACTACAGGCGCCCACCACCATGCCCAGCTAATATTTTGTACTTTTAGTACAGTCGGGGTCTCACCATGTTAGCCAAGATGGTCTTGATCTCCTGACCTCATGATCCACCCACCTCAGCCTCCCAAAGTGCTAGGATTACAGGCGTGAGCCACCGCGCCCGGCTGCCTATTATACGTTTTTTAGGAAACACTTTAAACATTCTGGGCCTTGATTTTCCTATATTGGAAGACTATAAAGCTCTTCCCACCATTGTTATTTTAAGTACAGGTATAGCAGTTATAGAGACCCCATTTGTTAAGTATCTACAATATGGCAAGAACTTTTTCTGGGGTAACTTTATTCACTTTTAAAACAAGTTTATGATAGACGTATTACTATCCAAATTTAAAGATCAGAAAACTTTAGACAAAAGCTTAAATTCCCTCTTAGTATAAGTGACGGAGCCTATTGTCCAGTCCTAAACCAGTGCTGTGTCTACATTATGAATCTATAAGACAGAGGAAATAGTGGCTCTATTGCAAAAGAAATACGACTTCAAACAGAACAGGAGAGAGAAAACAGGTGAGGCATTCTGCACATAATCCAATTTACTGTGTATTACTCTATGCCTAGAAAACAAGAAGCACTTCCTAAGTCAGTGGATTTCTAAAGAGTCAAATCTTAGATCTATACAAATGCATTTTATTTTGTAATAAAATCTTGTGCATTTTATTTGCAGCACTTGTTCTAAATCATCTCTACACTTGACAGTCAGGCACCATCCACCTTCCCCCTCATATGAAGATTTTATTTTCTCTTGGAGAGCAATTACCAGACAAATGCCAGGCTACAGAAGGTGTTTCTCCAGCAGCAGCATCTGTCTCCTTGGCAGGCTCCTCAGGCAATTTTATTGGCAATGCTAAAATGGCCAGGGGGTCAGTCAGAGCTCAGCTGCCCACAAGCTCTCAGGTGGCCTACCAGCCTCTGCTTAGATATCTCAAAAAGAAAAAAAAAAAAAAAACAGCTTGGATCTACCTCAAAAGTTGAAGATTGGCCGAAGAAAAGTTGTTCAGTGAGAACCATTTGGGCAATCCTAGTTTCTGCTGGGAGCCAAAAAATTCCCATGATCCTCTTTGCTAAACAAACCACCAGTGACAGCAACCTACATAAGGGCATAGATACTCAGATTCTGAGGTAACAGGCAAATATGTGCAGTGGCAGTCACCTTAAATTGGCACACCCCCAGTGATCCCTGCCTAGTAATATTCATGCCTTTGTTAATCTCCTCCCTGAGTGTGGGCTGGACTTAGTGACTTCCTTGTAAGCAAGTATGCTTATTTGTAAATAAATGGAATATGGCAAAAGTAATGGGATGTCACTTGATAAATTAGGTTATAGAAAGACCCCAACTTTCATCCTGTTCTCCATCTCTTGCCCTCTCATTAGCTTGCTCTGATGGAAGCCAGTTGCCGTATTTGTGAGCCACCCTATCGGGAGGCCACATGACAGAGAACTGAGGGAAGCCTTCGGCAAATAGCCTAACAAGAACTGAGACCCCCAGTCCAACAGCATGCGAGGAACTGAAGTCCACCAATGGCCCCTTGAGTGAGCCTGGAAACAGACTGATCCCGGGTGAGCCTTGCAATGACGGGAGCAGCTCTGGCCAATGCCTTGATTGCAGTCTTGTGAGAGGTCCTGAGTAAGGGCACCCAGCTCAACTGACGCATCAAAGCTGTGGGATTATAAATGTTTGTTCTTTTAAGCTGCTACATGCTGGAGTAATTTGTTATGCAGCAGTAGTTAACTAATATGTGTTCTTAAAACACAATTTTTTTTTAGTCACGTAAATAGAATGACCTCTTTCAAGTATGCTCAAAGATTACCTCTATGGGTCTGTCCTAATTATCCTATTGAACATCACAGCTCACTTCTACCCCACTCCCATACAACCTTATGCTGCACCATCTTTTCATATTTGCTGAATCCTTAATCATTATCTTTGAACACTATGTTGTTCAAAGAGTGGTCTTTGAACCAGCAGCATCCACCTCACATGGGAGCTTGTTAGAAATGAAGTCTCAGGTACCATTCCAGATCTACTGAGTCAAAATCTGCACGTTAGGAAGATCCCCAGGTGATTTACAGGTACATCAACATTTGAGAAACACTAGTCTAATATGAAATTTTCTTATTTATTTATTGTTTTGCCTGTCTCCTACCCTCCCTCAACCTCAATGGTAAGTGAGCTATGGAAGTCATTGTTGATACTGAGTGCCACCATTTGAAATTGCCTAGTCTGCTTTTGTAAAGATCAACCCAGCAAGGAGAGACAGACATGGACTATGTGTTTGTAAATTTTACAATCAATGCTATTTGTGTCTAAGTTCATTTGAATAGGGTTTCTGTCTCCTGTAGTCAGGAGTATTTCCAAATGGCAAGGTCAGAGCCATCTACAAATCGCACACAGCATCTCTCACTTTGTCTCCAGCAAGACACTGACTGAAATCTCCCAGCTGCAACTCAAAAAAAAAAAAAAAAAAAAAAAAAGGAAAAGAAAAATCCCAGGGAAGACTTTAGTCCAGAGAGAATGATTTGC